TAATTAAATTGAAATAAATTATTTTAATTCGTTTTAATTCATTTTAATTCATTTAATTCATTTTAACTCATTTTAATTTAATTCAATTTGTTTTAATTCATTTTAATTCATTTTAATTCATTTTAGTTCATTTTAGTTCATTTTAAATGCTTTTTAGTTCTCTTTTGAAGGCCGTTTGCTTCTCTTTTTATTTTAATTCTGTTTTTCTTTTTTTGGACCCGCGAGGCCCAAGAAGGCTTTTTTACTTTGTTTTTATTTCTTTTTGTTATTTATTTATTTATTTATTATTTCGTGTTTGTTAACTGTTTATTATTTATTTATTGTTTATTTATTTATTATTTATTTATTTATTTATTGTTTTGATTTCCAGTTTAGTGAGTTTATTCGCCGGCGGTGATTTATTTTTTGATTCATTTTGTTTCATTTGCGCCACTCCCTTATTATTTTGAATTTAAACTTTATTTTATATTTGTTTTGAATTAAATTGCAGCTTTTATTGTTTTGAAGTTAATTTTATTTATTTGTTTTGAATTAAATTGCTGCTTGCTGCGCAGCTGGTTTCTTTTCGGGTGTATATACACCGCTGCAGGCGCGTCTGCGCCCCAAGGCGGCGGCTGTCGTCACTAGAAGAAACCGAAAGAGTTTTGTTGTTTAACTTTATTTAAATTAAAAATAAAAGTGTTTTGAATGCCCTTTTAGTTTGTTGTTGCTGCCAGTTTGCTGCTGCTGCTGCTGCTGCGCGTGCACTTCATTCCAGTGTACGTACAGTTCAACTCCGAACTGTCGCCGAGAAGGCGAAAAAGCGGAAAAGGATAAAATAAATAAATAACGTGAAATAATAAATAAAAAGGAAATAACTGGCCTTTTAAAGGGCCTTTTTTGGGGGCAATCGGCCCCCGAAAGCTGCAGTTTCGAACGAAACGGCTGCAGCAGCTGCGCATGCATGCAGGCTCTGCGTCTACTGGCAAGCTATTCAGAGAGAATTCAGCAAAGTCCCCGCGCCTTCTTTTCTGGTTTATTATCGCCTGCGGCTGACGACGGCGCCGCAGCCGCCGCTTGCTGCTGCTGCTGCTGCTGCTGCTGCTGCTGCGCCGTGCGGCGACGGGGCGGACGCGGACGCAGGCCCCTGCTGCAGCAGCAGCAGCGGCAGCAGCGGCAGCAGCAGCAGCAGCAGCAGCAGCAGCACGGGAGAGCCGCAGGAACAAATTGCTGCTCTCGTGCGCTTCGCTGTTGTCGCCAGCAAAGGCCACCAGGAGTGGTTAGCTGCGGGTCAGCTCTTTATTTATTTTATTTATTCAAATTATTTATTTACTTATTTTAATTAGTTTAATTTAATTTATTCTGAGTGCTTTAGTTTGTTTATCCTGTTTTGAAGGTAGGTTTATTTTCATGATTTGTGTTTGTATTTATCATTTCATTTTATATTTATTAATTTGCGTTTTAAACGCGAATTCGCTTTTATTATTTCAATTCATTTTATTTTTCTTTGATTCAATTTACTTTTATTTATCTCAATTGGCATTCATTTACTTTGATGTATTCTAATTTACTTTTATTTATTTTAATTTATTCTAATTATTTAACTTTTACTTCAATTTATTCTAATTGTTTGTTTTATTTATTTTAATTATTTAATTAATTTGTGTTTTTAAATTTTAACGTCTTTCACAAATAAGAATTTCAGCTTTTCTTTTTCTTCGATTTTTTTCTTTTTCTTCCGCAACAAGCAAATTAAACAGCCAATTAGTTCCACCAATTAATTAATTAATTAATTATAATTGTAATTATAGTTAATCAATTAACTAATTAATTATATTTATTTATTTATTTATTTATTTATTTATTTATTTTTATTTGTAGGCGCCGAAGAGGCCCCCCACTTCTTCCGCGGCGAAATGCGGCGGGCGGAAGAATGGCTGCAGCGGCTGCAGGTAAATCACCCGGACTTTAATACTTTTCGAGTGGGCTTGTCGAAGCGTTAGTTTGCTGCTGCTGCTGCTGCTGCTGCTGCTGCTGCTGCGGCGGCGGCGGCGGGTGCAGCGGGTGCAGCGGCGGCGGCCGCCGAAAAAGCAGAAGCGGCGGCGGCGGCGGCGCTTCTGCGCTGCTGCTGCTGCTGCTGCTGCCGCAGCAGCAGCGGTAAGGCCTGCAGCAGCGGGGGAACTTGCTGCAGCAGCTGCTGCTGCTGCTGCAGCTGCTGCTGCTGCTGCTGGCCCCACAAAACGAAGCCGCGCAGCCAGCCAGCAGGGCGCCGCTGCTGGCGGGCGCAGCAGGGAGAGCCCTAGACAAAATATATATTATATATTATATATATTTTATATTTATATTTATTTATATTTATATTTATAATTATAATTATATTATTTTATATTTTATTGTATTTATACTGCATGTATTGTATATGTATATGCATTATATATATATAATGTGCACTTCACAGAATATATATATATTTATGTGTTGTGTGGAAAGTGCCATTTGCATGCGCAGCAATTTAAAGAAATTATATTTTGATTTAAAGATTTAATTAATGGCATTAGTTAATGGCATTTATTAATGACATTTATTAATGCATTTAATTCTTGCTAATATCTTTTAATGTTCTTTTGTCTGGCAGTTGGGCCGAGCCGCAGGCGCTGAGGTGTACGTACACCTCGCCGAGTGCAGCAGCTCTTAGTAGCCGCAGCAGCAGAGGAGGTAGCAGCAGCAAAGAGATTAAAAGGAATTAAATAAATGTATTTAAATGTATTAAAATGTATTTGTATTTATTTAAATTTATTTAAATGCATTTAATCAATTAAATAGCTTCCGCACACAGAGCCCTCGCCAGCTTGCGGTGTCGCTTTGCCCTGGCTGCAGCAGCAGCAGCAACAGCAGTAGCAGCAGCAGTAGCAGCAGCAGCAGTAGCAGCAGCAGCAGCTTATTCGGGAGCTTCACGAGGCCAAGTTTGAGAGCAGCTGAGGGTGCTGTCTGTCTGAGTGGTAGAAAAGAATTAGAATAGTTTTATGGTTTATTTAATTGGAGTCATATTTAAATTGATTTTTATGAATTGTTTTCGAATTTATTTTTAGAATTCTTCTCTAGTTTGTCTACTACGTTTATTCGTTACTTTTGCTTTCGATAGAATAGCTGAGAGGAGAGTTCAAGCAGAGCGGAAGAGACAAACGAAAACAGCAGCAGCAGCAGCAACAGCAGCAGCAGCAGCAGCAAAATGCTTTGTCTTGCTTCGCCGAGGCAGCAAAGAGGGGAGATTGGGGGGCAGCAGCAGAACTTGTTGGAATTGTTTGAATTGATTTAATTTAAATTAGATGCAGCAACAGCTGCAGCAGCAGCTTCGAAGGCCCTTCGCCTGCGAGGTCACTCTAGAGGCCTTTGCTGCTGCTGCTGCTGCTGCTAGTGCCGCCTGTGAGGCGCAGCAGCTGGTCCCGGGGCGCAGCGGGCCTGGATCTGCTGCAGTTTTTAATGCATTTGTTAAGTTGGAATTATTTAAAAAGAAAAGAATTAAAATAAAAGGAAAAGAAGGAGAGAAAAAGGCAGGGGAAGCCGCAGAAGCAGCGCCGGCGGCTCCGCCAAAAGCCCTTGCCTGCGCCAAGGCGCCTCGACGGCCTGGGGCCGCGTGCGGAGCTTTCTGGCCCGGTTTTTTCGCTTTTTTCGACACATTTGAATTTAATTTGAAATTTAATTCAAATTCGGCGTTTTTATTTCCAAATTCGGCCCTTTTTAGGGCCTTTTCTGCCCAGTCGCGCCGCCGCGCTGTGGGCTCCACTGGTCTGCCCACAGTCCTCGCCTCCCTTCTTCTTCCCCGCAGCTTCTCCATTATCTTCTTTAATTCTTCTTTTAAATATTTCAATTTCGCGATTCTTGTCTTACTGCGCCTCGCGGGCCCTCCGCCTCTGTGCCAGCATTAGCAGCAGCAGCAGCAGCAGCCACAGCAGCTGACGGCGCAAGTTCAGCTGCCAACAGGCTGCGCAGCAGCAGCAGCAAACAGCTCAGAAGTTGGCTGGAGGCCCCATTTCGGGCCAGGAGGAGCGACTCGGACTCTTTGCTGCTGCCCCCGCGCCGCTGCTGTTGCTGCTGCTGCGGCTGCTGCAGCTGCTGCGGCTGCTGCTGAAGTGCACGGCAAGGCAGCAGCTGCACACCGCCAGCAAGCCCTTCCCTCTAGTGCCTCCGCGCAGCAGCTGAGGCAGCAGCAAAGTTTCAGCTGCGCGGCAGCAGCAGCGCAGCAGCAGCAGCGCAGCAGCAGCAGCACAGGAACAGCAGCACAGCAGGGCCAGCGAAGTAGCCGCAGCAGCAACAGCAGCAGCGCGGGGCGTCCGCATCTAACTGCTGCTTTGCCCGGCGCAGGCAGTGGACCGGAGCAGCAGCAGAAGCGGTAGCTAGAAAACTGCAGCAAAAGCAGCAGCAGCAACAGCGGCAGCAGCAGCAACAGCAGCAACAGCAGCAGCAGCAGCAGTTCCTTCTAGCTGCAGGTGTTGCTCCTGTGGAGCCTTGAAAATGCTTTCCTGCGGATCATAGTTTTGCTCTGTACCGAGGCGACTAAGTGCAGCAGCAGGAGCAGCAGCAGCAGCAGCAGCAGCAGCAGCAGCAGCAGCAGCAGAAAATGCTGCAGCAACCGCAGCATTGACACTCACATATACAGGAACGGACCACTGGTCACCGCCCGCCCCAGGCGGCGCTGCCGCTGCAGCCGCCACTGCGGCGACAGCAGCAGCAGCAGCAGCAGCAGCAACAGCAGCAGCAGCAGCAACGAGGTACACAAACTCTGGATTCAATAGCAGCACCAAAGGAAGCAAATCGAAAGATAAGGGCCGCCGCAAGCAAACCCTAAACCCTAAACCCTAAACCCTAGAAGTCAAAACCCAAACCCTTCGCGGTAGCGAGTGGCCTCCACCGCAGCAGACGCACTGCAGCAAGGGCAAGTTGCTGTTGCAGCAGCAACAGCAGCAGCGGCAACGGCAGCAGCAGTAACAACAGAAACAGCATCAGCAGCTGCACAAGCAGCA